TTTGAGAGAGTGGAAGAGAGAGGGAAAGACAGAAACAGCAATGCGAGAGAAACACAATGATTAGACCGGAATTGAACCCAGGACGCTCTAGCCACAGAACAAAATGAAAATTAGCTAATGATTTCATTAAATCAACCCAAAATGTCTTACTAATGGTATACCTTTCAAGAGATCAACCCACAAATGTGTAATGTTTTTTCTTTTTAAAGAAAAAAGGTGACCTAATTAAAATTTATGGACTTTATTTTAAACCTAGTGATAGATCTGCTAAACGCAATATCTGAAAAATGTAACCTGTCTACCTTGCTGGGTACCTAAGGAAGCAAACGGAAGAAGTAGTTTTTATTTTAGAGAGCTGCTTGGCACGGTCAGCACTGCTCCATGGGGCTAATAACAATAACACAAACCCAAACAGTTCTTTCAGAAAGCCTGTGTGTTCCGTTTCCATCAGATAAACCCCTTGTGTAATGAGCTATTGACCTATTGTGCAGCTCCACAGAGAATGTTGATCCTATTGCTGACATCTTATTAGAAACACTAAAGAGACACAGAAACCAAAACTCTTAAATTTTAAAAAGGAGAAAGCTTTCTAATTCTGAATATGGTTTTTAAAAGGGCAGATGAATTAAACATTATAAATCACTTTTTAAAATGACTAAAATAATCACGGATGTGCCCAGAGATATAGGTAGAAGGATATTTAATACAGAGTTGCTAAATATAGTGAAAACTGCCCTGGCCAGGTAGCTCACTTGGTTAGATGCAGGTGGATCCCAGTCAAGGCACACAAGAATGAACCAATGAATGCCTAAATAAGTGGATCAACAAATCAATGTTTCTCTCCCTCTCTGTCTCTGTCCCCCACCTTTCTCTCTCCTTCCTTCCCTCACTCCCTCCCTTTCTCTCTCTAAAAATTAATTAAATTTTTAAAAATGAATTAGTGAAAACTGGAAACAAAAGAACTGTTGAGATTTAGATATATAATAGAAAACTATAAATGATGTTGTAGGAGTATTTTGGTAATATAAAGATGTCCATATTTGGGTGGGGAAAAAAAGTAAGTTACAAAGTAGTATGTAGAGAATGAACCCAGTTTTGTAGAGAATAACTTTCTAGCTGTGTAACTTCAGTAAAGTTACTTAATTTCTCTAAATCAGTTTTCTCTTCAATAAAAAGGAGATGATCATAGTATCTACCTCATAGGGCTAGAGTGAGGATTACAGGAGATTCCGGAGTATAGAGCAACTGGCACATTGGCTGGCTAATAGTAAGCTCAATACGTGCTAGCTCTTTGTGTTATATGTTCATTGGGTAAAAAAGAATTTGAGGTTATAGTGATAAGTGGTTTTCTGGATGGTGGCTAATTTGTTTAACTTGAACTTTTAAACTTCTATAAGTATCATTCTACTTATAATATGGGGAAATACTAATGAATTGGAATATTCACATACAGTGATTATTCTTTCAAAAATCTACCATAGTGCTTTGCTCACAATAAATAAATCTTGGTCGAATTGAATTTACCCTTCAGAATTCATTTAAACAAGTTTGCCCTAGAACATTTAAAATTACTTAACTGAAGGCTAAACTTGCTTATAATAAACTAGGTAAAGCAAGGCATAGTTACATTGTTCAGCCCCGTAATTTAAGAGCCCCACTTCAAGACCCATTAGAAAGCCACTAGAACTTTCATTATCAAGTGGGGAAAAGCCTAAAATAAGGTAATCACTTCTAGTTTCCTCCCAGCTCCACCCCTCTCCTCCTTCTTGACACTTTCTTTTCCTTTCCATAATCAAAGCCTAAGGGTTCTCTCCAGTATACTGTAACCCCCAAGGACAGTAAGTGCGCTTAGCATCCATAGTACCTTAGAACAGTGACTGGAATGGTAGTTGCTCACTAACTGTTCACCAACTGGATGAATTGACTAAATGTCTGATAGCGGCAGTTAGGAATAGAGACTTCAATTCCCGAATATGAGAATTGAATAAAGATAGGTAGACTTGACCAGCCAGTGTGGCTCAGTGATTGAGTGTCAACCTATGAACCAGGAGGTCACGGTTTGATTCCTGGTCAGGGCACATGCCCTCCTTGTGGGTTCGATCCCCAATGTGGGGAGTACAGGAGGCAACTTATCAATGATTCTCTCTCATCATTGATGTTTCTATCTCTTTCTCCCTCTCCAAAATAAATAAAAATATATTTTTTAAAAAGGATAGGTAGACTATCTTTAGTTTGAAACTGTCTAGAATTCTTAGTAATTGTTCTTTAAACACACACACACACACACACACACACACACACACACACACACAGAAAACATCTCACTTCAAAGTATCACTTCTTTAAAAAGAAAAAGTTCTTACTTGTATTCCATTGTCTATGTTAATGGATATAAGATTATTTCCATTTTTCCCTATACCATTTTTTCAAAGTCCCACAAGAATCCCAGAGAGTTTGAGTAACTCATTCAAAGTAATTCAGCAAGTAAGTTACCACCTAGTTAATGTCAGGTTTCTGGATGCCACTGCTCAAGATCTCTCTACAGGGGCACCTGTGACCTTTAACCCTAAAAGTTGTAGCTATCAGAAGAACAAATGTTTTTAATAACCTGAGGAAGTGCTTAAGCTTCTTCCAAATATTTCCTAGGGCTTTTATGAGATTCTGCAAGAAGAGAAATGAAGACCAAGAGACAGCAATGCAAAGGTGCCCAAGTGTTTCCTTCCAGGTTCCTATGTCAACCAGCTTCACTTAAAAACGAAACGAAAGAAATCAAATTAAATATTAACTCATGAAAAAAACACTTCAACCAGAAGACTATTGGGAAGCAAGGCTATCATCAAACCAAGGGAAGGGCTATAAAAAGGAAAGTTTGCACAGCTTATACTTTTTTAAAGGTGAAGGATAAAGTTTGAGCATTTTCCACACATGCAGCCTTCCTCCAAATGCCAGGTGTTCACTTCCAGCCACTGCTCTGACCTTGTTTAAACACTAAATGGCAGCTCGCTTAACACGAGGTGGGACCCAAACACCTTTCAGGTGTTTACAATGAAGTGTTTCCCGTCCTGGTATACACACTCAGAATGCAGACATCACTGCTTGCTCCTAGGAACCTGCCAAAGGACTGCACATACAAAACTTCAGACAGTAGTTCTCAACCTTCTGGCCCTTTAAATACAGTTCCTCATGTTGTGACCCAACCATAAAATTATTTTCGTTGCTACTTCATAACTGTAATGTTGCTACTGTTATGAATCGTAATGTAAATATCTGATATGCAGGATGGTCTTAGGCGACCCCTGTGAAAGGGTCGTTCGACCGCCAAAGGGGTCGCGACCCACAGGTTGAGAACCGCTGGCACAGCTTTATAAGTAGAAAGTTTTGTGGAAATTAACTGGTTATTACCTGAGCCCCTGGAACATCCTCTTATTTATACATAAACAGTAATTTGCCGAGGTCTCCTTTGTGCCAGACATTATAGCTCCTTTGCACTATCGCCCTCCAGTCCTCTGAAGTCCTTATATACAGTCCCATTTTACTAGATCAGAGTGTTCAAGTAACTGAGAACCCACGATTAACAGATGGGAGGAGGGGTGAACCAAGGATCTGAAAAGTTAAGTTTAAATTCAAAATGCACACCTAACCTATGAGATTCTGCCTAAGAGACACTAAACAGATCTCTTGGCCAATTTAAAAGGCCTGTCAAAATGGTTTTAAGGTCATATCAGAGCAGGCAAGATAAAATAGAAGAATGACGAAGATTGACCAATAAAAGATTACAGGACTTGACACCAGTTATTTCAAGACGTAGCCGCGGGTTAGTAACAATTATCCATCTCTCAGAAAGACAGGCAGTTCCCTCCCACCTATTTGCGCTGAGAAACCAAGTCTTTCCTTAAGGGGACGGCCAAACGTTGCAAGGTTTCATTCAGCGTGGGCTGCCCAGAGCCGGGTCATTACTGTCCACGTATCATCAGCAAGTGCCTCTCAAAAGGAAAAAAGAGTCAGTCCCTCCTCCTTCACCACCTGAATTCAGCCTTGCCCTCTCCGGAGTGTCTCTGGACCACCTATGGGCTAAGCGTCCTTCCAACGCCAGGACCCAGTTACCCGAAATGGTTGCAAATGAATGAGCTGATGCTCAAAGCAAAGAAACCAGCCCCACATCCAGCCTCAGTCTGGCAAAATCAAGAAAGGATGCCCTGGGGTGGCGCGCGTGGGGGCCCGACTGGAACCACGTCTCTGTGGTTCGTCCGCCTCCCCACTCCTCGCGCTTCGCAGGGCGCGCGGCTCCCCACCCCATTCTCCTCCCCGGCCCTCCGGGCGCTCCTTACCTGCTCCCCGGCCAAAGGCTCCGGCGCCCCGCGGAGGATCTGCTGGCGGACGGAACCCGCGGCCGCAACCACCCGCAAGCCGATGCCGCTAGAAAGTTTGCTCCGCGTCTCGCCCTCTCGCGCCGCGGTCCCGCGAGGGAAGCTGCTCTCCGGGTCCCTCCCACGGCCGCCGCCCCCAGGCCGCTCCCGGCAGCGCTGCAGCACCGGCGGGGCTCGGGCGGCTCCGTGCGCGGAGGGCGGGGAATCCCCGCCCCGCTGGGCCCGGCGCGGCGCTGGCTGTTTACCGCGGCCGCGGCCCGCTCTCCCCGCCCGCCGCCTTGCGCGCTCCTGACATCATTCATTCTCTCACACCCGCGCCCGCCCCCTCGTTCCCCAACAGTGACTCACCGCGGCCGCGGGCGGCGGTGCCCGCTCCGGCAGAGGCGGCTGGAGGCGCCGATCACAGCTCGACAAACCGGTGCGACTTCTTAAGAAGGGAACCCAGGCCGACCCTCCCCTCTCCCCGCCGGGAAAGGTGCAGGGAGGAGGGGCTTGGCTGGAGGAGCCCATTGGCTCCGCGCGCAGAGGCTGAGCGCCCCGCGCGGACCTCCTCGACCAGCCGCTGAGATCCATCCGGGAAAGTTGTTTGTTTAGGTGTCACTCCCGGTAACTTTGAAGGGTGCGGCTGCGAAGGGATCCCCCACCCCCGCACCTCGCCTCATGCAGGAGCTGCTTCCTGACGTGGAGGCGAGTGGGCTCGGGGGCACCAGCGGTCATTCAAAGGGTGTTGCCGGGGCCTGAGTCTCAGAGGTGAGTGTCCAGACCTCGCAGCGTTGCCTGGCAGGATTAGTCATCAGTTCGTCCGGTGGCAACTCTAGGTGCGAGCTGGAAGGGTGCTCCGAGTTAATGAAGCTAATCATACTTTCCCTGCCGTGACTAACCGCCGTGTCATTTGTCCTGCTAATTGATTCACTTCTCGTTAAGAATAAGAAACCGTAACCAAAATAAACAGTGAAAGAGTCTTTCTTTGCTCAACGGGACACTGCACTCCCCGCCCCCCCTTCCCCCCCCCCGCAGCTTTGGGGGCACAAGGCCATCGTGTGTGGTTTCTTTGATGAGCTCAGCAATTATGTTTTTTAAAAGGGGTGTTGCCTTCTTAAGGCTCTACGTTTCTTGGTTGTTGCTCTTCATACACCTGCTGGGCAGTTTTCAAAGTAAAGGCAGCCTCAGAAAGTCAGAGGGCATTTTGTCCAAATCTTTATTGAATTTAATTGACAGAAATGTTTTTAGTTCATGTCTACCTGGGGACAGGGTAATTATGTTTAGGATTTACACTGGCTTATGGGTGATTCCATAGCATCCACAAAAACAATCCCGAGGCATCTCTGGATGCCTCGTGCAGAAGTAATGGGGGCAAACGATCATTTGTTGATGGCAATTGAACACAATGGTAGCAGAATAAAAACATTCGGGGCAGTCCTGAAACAGACAACCGTGAGCTGTTACTAGAGCAGTCTCCCCCAAATGAAAATGCTCCTGAAATTAACCAGAGGTTCCACATCATTGCTGTGGAAAATGCACTCAGTGAAGAACACCAACAATTGATACGTATTTTCCTTGGGTCTATTTTTTCTTTTCAATAGGAGTTCGTTTTTAATTTTACAAAGCCAGGCATTTTGCCCAGAAGGCAATAGCAAATAGATTGGTTTGCTAGGAGGCAGTCAAAGTAAATGGAAATTTGAACCAACAATTTTTACAGACAATCATAGATGTAACCAGAAGCTTGGGCGCCCTGTTTATACCACCGAGGAACTACATTCGAATGTGCAGCCACAGAAAATTGTGGGTGAACATCCCACATACTTCCTACTTTCTGGCCCAAAATTTGGACATTATAGAAATATGTCTGAATAAGATTTTCTACAGATCTTTAAAAATGATGTTGTGGGCTTTGGGCCTAAGTACATGGATGGAGTAAAAAAAGGTCAAAGCCAAACCTGCCGTCCTGTCTGCATTATTGCATTCTGTAAATCCTGCAGCTCTCATAGGAAGGTCTCTGTTTGTTTGGAAGGCTTCGTGGGTAGTTTTGATTTTGTGGTTACTTTTGGGCCTCAGTTTACATATTGTAAAATAAATAATTAGGTCATTTTATTATACCACTTATATATTCTCCAATAAATATCTATATATATAAAAGGCTACTATGCTGTCAGATCATTCAACCGGTCTCTATGATGCACACTGACCACCAGGGGGCAGATGCTTAATGCAGGAGCTGCCTGTAGTGACTTGGCAGCGGTGGGTCTCAGGTGACACACCCCGAAACCAGAGAGGAGGGAGCCCGATTCCTCGCAGGGCCCTGCGATACCACCTTTGGCCATGGGTTATGTTGTTGCTGGGGCACTGTCGGCCCTGAATCTGGTTTCCTGCACACTTGTGTTTGCGTTCGACACCCTGTACAACAGCAACTTTGCAGAGTGCCCTCTCTCACTCCAGGACCCCTCGGGGGATGTTGGGGAGTCGGTTTCGGCCTGATCCCCGCAGGCCAGGCCAAGGGACCTCACCTGTGGGAGGGACCACGCTTACTCCGCAGACACCAGGGAGGGACTGCGGGAGGTGGGCTCTAGGCATGTCCAGCCATCTCGCCCAGTCCCTACCCACCAGCCACCTTCTAATTAATTTCCTTTCAATGTGCACGAATCTGTGTAGCGGGTCACTAGCAAGACTGTAATTGTGATTGTGTTGTGTGAAGTTTTTCCATTTTACTCATTATCAACACATGAGAAAGTAATTTATTCATCTTAATTTCTATTTTGAAAAATAGTGACTTTTCCATTGCACAGAGAAAGTTAATTTCTTTCCTTTTCTTTTAACTGCACCTTTTTGTCCTTAAAATGCATCAGAGTTTACTAAGTCCCTGATTGGTCACCTTCCAAAAATAATAATGCTGAATGCTCTAAGGGAGAGAAAGGACTGTCAGGTGTGTTCTTGTCATTTTTTCCCCCAAATTATTACATACTGTAAATCAAGTTTTATGGATATTCATTTAGTTTGATAAAACATACTAAGGTAGGAAATATATATATATGTATACATATATAATAAATATACATATGTAAATATATATTATATATATGGTCTCTATCTCCTTTTATAATAACTCCTATTCTGGATGTACCTAAGTCATTCACTCAACTAACAAATATTGTGCCCACGTTGTTTAAGAATCGCTATGTACATCTTCTAAACATATGTCTCAGCAATGGGAAAGTTTTACTTTTTAAAAAATTTTGCATAAGGATTTTATTGCAGCATTATTTATAATTTTCCCAGGGTTCAGCATGATGCCTGGCATGTAATTACTGAGTGAAATAAACACATGAACAAGCCTTAAAGAACAAACCAATGGTGAAGTAACTCCATGTTATAGGATTCTCTGTAGGCAATTTAAAGAAAAGAATAAAATAGTTCCAGAGGCTCTGACTTAGAAAACTGTCTTTGTTAAGTGAAAAATATAAGCAGAAAGAAAACACACACACACACACACACACACTCACACACACCATTTTTGTGACACAAACACCACTCCCCTCTGAAAAATACATACCCAAACTATATAGTACCTCTTGGCATGAAATATAGAAGGCCAGAGTGTGAGGGGGAAACCTATATTTCTTGACTATTTTTCAATGAGCCTGCACAGTAATTAAAAACAACCACCCAAGCTATAATGGAACTTAGAAGGTAGCAAAACTATGAGTACATGCCATAGGTGCGCTTACTCTAGTTGGAGAGACAACACCCAGAACAACTAGAGATTAAGGCTGCTCACCTTGGGGATTCAGGTTTCAGATATTCACCCTGTGCCAGACCCATCCGATGAGCCAAGATATACCATTTAGTGAGTACTTAGTGTGTGCCAGGGACTATGCCAATTGATTTCCACTATATTATCTCATTTAATCCTTTCAGTGACCTTCTGAGGGAGGTACTCATAATGCCCTTCTCTACACATGAGATAACCAAAGATAAGAGATTGCCAATTTCCTGAGATCACACTCAAGTAAGTGGCATCGTCAGGGCATAAAATCAGGACTTTCTGGTCCCAGAGATCATAATTTTGACCATCATTCCCTAAATTGTATCATCTACATTGATGTAATAATAATCTTACTTTTTTAGTTTAAAAAACTTTTATTATTTATTAAAAAGATAAGGTAATAGTACCATATTGTAGAGCAATTTGAAAATAAGGTGGGGGGGGACCACTGTTAACATTTTATTGTCTGATCTGCATTCTTTAGATTTCTACTGGTTAACATAATTTCAATATCATACATATGATTCTTATTCTGATTTTTAAAAAATTTTTATTGATTGATTTAGAGAGAGGGGGGAGGGGAGAGATGGAAAGAGAGAGACATTGATTTGTTGTTTCACTTATTTGTGCATGCATTGGTTGCTTCTTATGTGTGCCCTGACTGGGGATTGAACCTACAACCTTGGTATATTGGGATGACACTCTAACCAACTGAGCTACCCAGCCGGGCTTCTAATTTTTTTAAAAATTAACAGAATATCATGTGCTCTTTCCTCACAATTATTATATTAGTGGCTCCATGGTGTGCCAAAAAAAAAGTATGTGCTTGTGCATCTGTGTGTAATTGAACATAACCTGAAATCTGGTAGCCCAATTATTAACTTGGGAGCAGTTTAGTATAATATTTTTACATTTTATTAATGAAAACTCCTGGACAATCTTTTTCATAGTTAGTACTACTATACTATGTATACAGATGTCCTAATTAAATAAAAAGTGTTGGGGGTATTCAGGAAAGTAAACAAACGGTACTATATGACACATTTTATTATTATTATTGCCCATACTTCTGGACTAGAGCAAGATGGGGAGGGTGCAGAGAGAGTAGCAGGTAGCTTTGCAGCAGTCCAGGATGGCAGTGGTCTAGGTTAGGAGAGTGGTGATGGGAATGTAAGAAGCAGAGTGGATGGATTTCAGGTATAATGGACAGCATTTGAAGATCAATTGGATATGGGAATGAAGCCACAATAATTCCTACTTTTTTTGTTTCTTACTTGAGCACTTGGGTGGATGGTGGTGCCTTTTACCAAGCAATACAGGGAATGCCAAGATAGAAATAGGTTTGTGGAGTATGGGGCACGGCTACAGTGTTTTGGCCAGGTTCAAACCTCGGACTAATGAAAGGACAGGGTCCTCTCATTGCCACGTGCAAGTCCCAGCTAGAGTTCAGGGCCCTCCCAGCACAATTATAGCCAACGGCTGTGGTTGTAAGCTTAAACCTATGGTCCAAACACGTAGCCCCACGTGCCTTGTGCTAGAGTTCAGGTGCATGTAGTTGAGTGAGGTTGAAACTCATGAGAATGCTGTAAACAACGTGATCACGCCCCTACTTTGCCTCGTGGCATCTGCTATAAAATAAAGACACGGCTTGTGGGCGCTGGCGCTGTCTCCTCATCAGGGAGCAGCGTCCCACCGAGACCCAGCTTTCATTCTCTATCTGTCTTCCTTAATCCTTTCACCCCCCCCCCCCACACTCAGGTTAACTTTGGCCGAAAACAG